ATCAATATGTATATCTATGCCTTTAGGTTTTCGTCTCCATAAATATAAAACGTTTTCTTTTTGTTGTTTTTTATGTTGTCTTTTGCTTTCTTTTTCTTTTTTTTTTTCTTTTTTTTTCTCTTCTTCTCTTTTTTATTTAATTATTTTCTCGGGGTTTGCTGCTGGTGCTGCTGTTGGCCTCGCGGGGCCCACCCCCGTTGCTGCAGCATACAAGTAAGAAATAAAATATATATTTATTTTATTTTATTTTATTTATTTTATTTTTTTTTTTTTTTATTTTGTTTCTTTGTTTTATAATAGTCATTGATACAAGTAAGAAATAAAATAAATATTTTATTTATTTTTTTATTTTTTTATTTTTTTATGTTTTTATTTTTTTTTGTTTTATGATAATCACTGATACAAGTGAGAAATTAATTAAAATAAATATTTTTTTTATTTTTTTTATTTTTTTTATTTTTTTTATTTTATTTTTTTCTTTATGTTTTATAATAGTAATTGATACAAGTAAGAAATAAAATAAATATTTTATTTTTATTTATTTTTATTTTTTTTATTTGTGTTACACAGATAATGCACTATCTATTTATCTTTTTGTTTCTCTGTCTTTGTCTTTGTCTCTCTGTCTTTGTCTTTGTCTTTGTCTCTATGTCTTTCTCTTTGTTTCTTTGTCTTTGTCTTTGTCTTTGTCTTTGTCTTTTTCTTTGTCTTTGTCTTTGTCTTTGTCTTTGTCTTTGTTTCTTTGTCTTTGTCTTTGTCTTTGTCTTTGTCTTTGTTTCTTTGTCTTTGTCTTTATTTTTCTTTTTCTTTGTCTTTGTCTTTGTTTTTATTTGTTTATGATTATTTTAGTTTTTCTTTTTTATTTATGCTTGTCTTTGTCTTTATTTTTCTCTGTTATTTACATTTGTCTTTGTCTTTTTCATTTATTTATTTTTGTTTTTATCTTTTTCTTTTATTTAATTTATATTTATTTTTGTTTTTATATTTGTCTCCTTCTTTGTATTATAATATAGAGTCTGTCTCTGCTGCCGTTGCTGCTGCTGCTGCTGCTGCTACTGCTGCTGCTGCTGCTGCTACTACTACTACTACTACTACTACTACTACTACTGCTGCTGCTGCTGCTGCTACTGCTGCTGCTGCTGCTGCTACTGCTGCTGCTGCTGCTGCTGCTGCTGCTGCTACTGCTGCTGCTGCTGCTACTGCTGCTGCTGCTGCTGCTGCTACTGCTGCTGCTGTTGCTGCTGCTTCTGCAGGGCTTGGCCGCAGCACAAGGGTCTTGCTGCTGCTGTAGTGCTTTCGGGGATGAGCATCAGCCCCCTTATCTTTGATGCCCTAGAGGTAAACACATTGCTGCTGCTGCTGCTGCTGCTGCTGCTGCTGCTGCTGTCGCTGCTGCTGCTGCTATTGGTGTTGCTGCTGCTGCTATTGGTGTTGCTGCTGCTGCTGCTATTGGTGTTGCTGCTGCTGCTGCTACTGGTGTTGTTGCTGCTACTGCTGCTGCTTCTAATCCCTTTCTTCTGCATCCTCCCTTCCTACTGCTGCTGCTGCTGCTGCTGCTGCTGCTGCTGCTGCAGTTGTATATAGTAAATCCCGATGGTGTTGCTGCTGTCTCCGCTGCTGCTGTTGCTGCTGCTGCTATTACTACTACTCCTCCTCCTCCTAATGTTCCTTCTGTTACCGCTGCTGCTGCTGCTGCTGTTGCTGCTGCTGTTGCTGCTGCTACTCTTACTACTACTACTACTCTCCTGCTGCTACCGCTGCTGCTGCTGCTGCTGCTGCTGCTGCTGCTGCTGCTGCAGTGTTATATAGTGAATCCTAATGGGGTAGGGTTTACTGAGGTCCCCTACAAAGAGCATCCATACGAAGTTTATATAAAAGACAAAAACGTAATAAATAGAATACCTTTCTTCTTTCTGCTGCTGGGTTGCTGCTGCTTGCTGCTCACACCTGCTGCTCTGCTGCTTGACTTAAACACTACCTGCAGCAGCTGCAGCAGCAGCAGCAGCAGCTGCAGCAGCAGCAGCAGCAGCTGCTGCAGCAGCAGCAGCAGCTGCTGCAGCAGCAGCAGCAGATGCACGCAACACACAACCCTAACTAACACTCCATCTGAAGCTTATAGCCAACT